GGGGTTTAGGTTGCCGGTTTCCATCACTGAACAGCAGGTCCTTGTGACTATGGGGTTTACCCCGTCTGCTGTTCAGCACACGAAAGTGTGTAATAAAAAAGTTTCAGTGCAGTGCAGATATTGTGAACAAGACCGAGGTCAGAAAAAAGTCGGTTTACATTGCCTTGTCGTTCAAGGGGATACACCAGCAGAGGTAATACAAGGGAAACTGTCCGACACTGTAAGACCATCTATGCAGCAAAGCTCAATGTTTTGTTCACGTCCCAGCCAATTGTGTGTTAAAGACCAAAGGACAAAAGGCCGGATTCTACCACCTCATTTTGTGTTCCTGTGGGAAAACGTGCATAGGCGGCACGGTCAGGCTTTTGTCCGTACGAATCCGTGAACACAACCCCACATGGCTAAATACAGGAACGATTAGGTCACTCACTACTGGAGTGTTTTCATACCTATTTGAAGCAAATCACACTGTGAATGTGACCGAGGCATTCCACCCCCTGTCTCGGGTTCGTGGTCGAATATTAAGGCCCATTCGATGTCGTGTGCTTACCACAACGGAAACAGTAGGAATTCGTCTACATAACTCCCCTCTGTGTGCCCAAAAACAATGTGTGCAGGCCTTTCTGACCCACCACCCACATCCAGAATAGTTGCAATGATAGGATGACCTACCAACTGTGATCATTGATAGTCCCATATCTCCGGCCGGAACACGAAATTCAGTTTTTACAACCAAGAACCATGCACTTTCGTGCGCCGGTTTTTGTTTGCTATCTTTTGGTCGCTCATTAGAACAGCAGAGAAGGATTAAGATTGGAATGTTGAAAGCCAATTCAAGCGGAAGATAGAGAATTCATATAGACTGGTCATCAGCATCATCATCACCGTACAGCGGAATACAGTGAAGTGAACTTCACTGATTGCTGCCAAGCTCATAATGCATACAAGATAAGTGAGAATGTTTAAGGAGGACAGGGATTGGGCCTATTTTTAGGGACGGGAAAAGAAAGCGAACCTCTATGGTCAACACACAGAGTAAACAGTTCAACTGTGCGTACATACTATTTCAAGCATTTTGGTCTGATAAGAAGTGACAACAAGATCGACACTGCTGTCGGTTTGCTGCCATGACCTTCAGTGGCTCCAACCATGCGGTTAAGGAGTCTTTTGGACCCCAACCCGGAAGACTACAGACACCTACTCTACCTAATCGGTCTGTGCATTTCTTTATGTCTAGTCTCCACGTCATCTACTGGCCTCCACGTGGCTTTCTTCAACCTGTAACAGCCACTGCAAACAAGGCGCGCTGTGGTAGACGACCGTCGGACATACACTAAACGTGTCCTAACCAACGGAGCCTACTGAGCTGGATTCGATGAGATAGCGAGTTCTTGTTTGATGTATTCCTAAACATCCGACGACTTACCTCTAAGTTACTAAATTGCTCACTCCATCCAACCTGGGCCAGACTACGTAAGCATCGATTGTCGAACACTGCTAAATGACGGGTGTCTTCTACCCGCAAGTTCAAAGTTTCACAACCGTACAGCAGAGCTGGTCGTACAGTGGCGCAGTATACGCGACTTTTCAACTACAGCGAAACGTCACGTCGCCGCCACAAGTGTTTCAGTCCTGCGTATGCTGCTCGAGCCTTGGAAATGCGGGCGGTTCTCTCCTTTGATGTGCTACCGTCGTTGGTCACGCAGCTACCTAAGTACGAGAAACAGTCAACTTCAGCTTATTCCCGACCGTCTAGTTTCAGAACGGAACTCGACGACAACCAGTCTTGTAGCATCACTTTGCACTTTGAAAGTGCAAAGCACATGCTGAACGGACCGACGGAACTTGCTAATCTTTTAAGTGCTCTTTGCGTATCCCCCATAGATTTGAACAGGCAAACGATGTCGTCAGCGTACTCCAAATCGTACAGCTTTTCTCCAGCTGTCCATTCATGACCTACATTTTGGAGACCACTTAGTGCGTTCATCAGCATTTCGTCTATGACGAAATTGAACAGGAATGGCGAAAGAGGACACCCTTGACAAACACCACTGCTAGTTACGAACGGCCTACTCAGCTTGCCGTAGATCCCCACGCTATCAGAGATGTGTGAGTAGAGTGACCTCAGTATGTTCACATACTTCTGCGGCTTTCCTTTGCGAAGAGGGTCCCCAGCCAGGGAGCCTAACGGAATCTATATGAACCTATATAGACTTATATGAAGACGAAATTAGCCCCAAATAACCTCTTTGGAACAAAAAAAAAACAGCTTGATTTCTATAGTCAAGTACCGATACTTATATAAGCATTGTGATATTTACTGTGATGTGTTGGCATGATTACGAATCCATTGAAAACGAGCTTATTCGCCACTCTTTGTTCTATTCGAAATATGCACTGTGGGACTGTTTAGAGAGTTATGAACTTGGTTGTGAAATGTTTAACAGCCTTACAGTTAACCTTGCAAAAAATTATGTTTGACTTGAGTTGTTTTACCCGATCTTTCGCAGTGACAGACGAACCTGACACTGACGCAAACGGATGCGGTTATGTATGCATTCGTTGCTTACCGTGACGAAAGTTATTTGATTTGCATCACAGCTGAACTCGCCTCCGAAGCAGCGGATACTGGGCCGAATCTGTCTGATTGCAAAACTTTCCCCATTTGTGTGTTGTATGGCAGCCCTTTGACTGGCCGCTTCCCCCTTCCTGAAAATTGTATCTTTGTGTATTCAATAAAAGGGAGTAAAATGAAAATGAAAAAAAAGAACTAGCAAACGGTCAGACTCGTGCCACGGCCGTGAGAAAAGGGTGTGACAGTGGTGGGATTCGAACCCACGCCCTTGCGGACTGGTGCCTAAAACCAGCGCCTTAGACCACTCGGCCACACTGCCAAGGCGCAGTGGCCATTTTGTTTCGTTGTTCATGTTAAGTTTGGATAGTACTTGATAGAGGTTCATCAGGAATAGCACCGTGAAAATTCATGTGTGGTTGATTTACACTGTATTAATACCAAACTAAGTCAAATGGCTAAGGATGAGCGCATCTGCTGTGGGGCAGCCGACCAGTTTGAAATCATGAGCTTCTTGAGTTTGTATGTTCTCCGATGAACCAATCCGGTCTGACGAAAATACTCTGCATTTTTCGACTGTTGTCGGAGCCCTTATCGATTGAAGAGATCGAGACCCGTGTATTATCCTCATGCGTCCCAGAATCCCAGCCCACAAGCTCTTTGTTGTCGTCTTATGCAAAAATAGAGATGTGACTTGTTTTTCCCGACCAACGAACATAACAAACCGTACAGGGAGGAAGGAGAGGGACGGTGAATGGGTTAGCTACCATGCTGAACCATTTTAATCAGCTTTGCTAGGTTGTGTAAATGAAATGCAATTGTATTTTCTACTCAGCAGTGTTTCCGATGACCTATACAGTCTCGATCATGACTCATCATGGGACTTTAGACAACACATGCATACCGCAGTGGATTTGAGCACATCGTGATTGTTTATTTGGCTGTGCTCATGTGTGGA